GGTGTGAATGAACCGGATAGAACAGCGAATGTGGAGGATGGCTCAGGAGTCGAGGTTGTGATGTGGTTGACAAGCAACGTCACTGAAGCTTGTAACTTGGCAATGTCTGTGGACATGGACGAAAATTGCATGTAAAAAGGTAACAACCTACAACTTGTTTCTAAACCACAGTCAATCGAAGCATGCAAACAGCTAACTGGATAGGCTATCCTGAAATCTCTTTAGATTTTAAGGAAATTTTGTACTAAATCAAAGTCAAGTTTTCAATAATTATAGGTAATGCTCAACTTATTGAGTTGAATATTTTTGGGGAGCACAAGACATTGCCCCACCTTGACATAGGACCTTTGCCTCTCTAGTGAATTTTTCTGCTCTGTTTCTCATCCAAAGACAGAATAAAAAGAACATTATGAATGTTTAGTATAAAGAAGCTTGTACATGATGATGATGAAAATTTGATTTAGCCACAGACCATCCTGGCCCCAATGATTGATGCCCTCATGTTCTCCTTTACTATATAAAACATTAGTTCTTTATGATTGGTCTATTTCTTTCATTGAGTACTAGAGAAATTATGGTTGAGCCACCACATGCACGATGCACCCACCCACCGTGACTTAGAATCAAGGGAGCAAGGTGCAGTTTCCTAATCTAAGCCAATTCTTTCACAACGCAAAATCACCTGCAATTTACCTAAAATGCATGTGCACTTGTATTTCTTGTGCGCTTAGGGACAGACCGCAAGCTGTAATCTTTGGTCCCCATAAGACAAGGAATGTGGGATAAGGTGGTCCTCCACACAAACCCTACCTCCACATAAAACTTGTTAAAACATTAGTCCTTGAGCGAAAACCCCAGTTCTGAACTCGATGCAAAGCATTTTGAGCAATGTTCGGGTCAGTCATCAACACGCAAGTGGGTAGTTACCGGCCCTTGATACATGTGGGATCACAAGCATCAATAGCCGGGAGTCTCCTGCTAGTCCGTGGGCGACTGTCCATGGTAAAATAGTTTGGATTTTGCTTTATATGTGAAGATATGAAGAAACAGCACTTTTCCTGCTCTGCCTAATGTTTAGTCCTTTTAACACTTTGAGTCTGTCAATGTCACTTGATTAGATTAGAATCTAAAAGATGGGGGCTGAGTCACAAGACACTGCGTGAACAAGGTGGGGTATAATTGCGCTGTATATTGTTGTGTTGCTTGGTGTTGGTAAATGATACTCAATCTTATTCCTAATATTTATGAGCTGAGGAGCAGATTCTTAGGTTAAAGCTTTCTGTGGATATGGTTAAAGGACCACCTGGGCATCTACAGAACCAAGATTAATGCAATGGACCCTTTGATGCATACTGAAAATGGAATTGAGAACTATGCATCACAAAATCGGATCTCCTATCCTCTTTACTTTTCAATTGTTTTTACGATATAATAAAATCAAGAATCGTGTTATTGTACAGATAATTTAACATGTTACGTTGTTGGACTGCATATTTGAATTATTGGTTACATGGGGTTTAAATGCGTATAGGGGCGAAATCACCTTAAACCCACAGGGTCACATGCCGCCTGAACCAAAGTTATCATCCCCACAATTTGTTAATTGAACTTGAAAAATTGGTGTAAATTGTTTTTGGCAATATTCCTTCCTCGGTACTTGTTGGACAAAATTATTTCTTCCGCCTTTGAATATGTGTTCATATAAACAAACTAGCAACATAACGTCCAAAAAATTATCTACACAATTATATGTTAGTACTATTTGATATAGTACTAGAAAGAGATGGGGATGACGTGTCAAGAAGATCAATAGATGTGAACCCTAGGATTGACTACTAATTGAATCCATGAATTGTATACAAAGATGAGCTTCAAGTTAAAGGATGTGACCTACTTTTGGAGGTTTAGAAGAAACAAAACACGCTAATAAATTGAAGGGTTCACAGAACTCATGCCATGGCAATTGGCAGTTGTTGCCTCTCTCTCTCTCTCTCTCTCTCTCTCTCTCTTTATGCTGATAGCAGAGATCAGAATCCCACCAATCCATGAGATAGAGAAGAGTAATAAATGAGTCTCTCTCAAGGGTCTCAATCTTTCTCTCTGTAATGCTTGGGAGGGCACGTGACTTGGAGTTACATACTTCCACATGATGTTCATCCCCACATGCCTATCAATTTGAATCTCATCTCTTTTCCCTCCAGCTTTAACTTATTATATATATCTTCTTGTTGTGAGGTGTAATTTTTACTTTTAGACAAGCAAACACAGTGTGCGACTGTTTGAAATAAATATTCTTGATCACTTGAATTATAAATTATTCTTGTCTTTTTTGAAGGTATAAATACATTGTGCAAGATATATTTCACGTCCCACCGTCTTAAGCCGCTCATAAATGAGGAATGTATGGGATAATTTGAGAGTGATTTTGAAATGACAAAATCATCAACAAATAGATTAATAACTTGTTCAGTGTCTCAGCAGTGAGGCTAGCTTCTGGAGGGGCCATACGTGACCACTGGTGTAATAACTCCAAAATCATATCAATAAGTTTCAATCTCTCTCTCTCTCCCCTTCTCCTTGCCGTATAAAAATCTATCATGCAGAAGAATTGTATAAAATACAAAAATTCCCTAGCCGCCAATTTCCCATATTAGCAGAAGCCAGCCAAAGAGACCTAAAATCTCATTTAAGCAAAATCTTTTCTTGATATTATTGTGATCTACGTGCCTTAAAGTTAATTTTTCCTAAACCAAGAGGAAAGAGAAAATACTGTGGATAGATTATTTTTCTTTCGTTTTCTTCACAATTTTTATTTTATTTTTTTAACTTCAGTTTCCGTCCAAATGCTTTTTCTTTAGGGAAGAAAAAAAAGCAGATGAAGTGTTGATCTGAAAGATCTCACAACTGTTTGGGCTTTGGCCCCCTATTTTACCAAAAAAAAAAAAAGATCTCACAACTAAGATTGCCCATTGTGCTCCTACAAAACATACAATACAACAAGAGAGAATATCACAAGAGTATTGTGCATATAAAAATAAATTCTATAATCCTTCGAGTATTCATTAGTTTCAAATTTGGATGAGATTACCAGCCAGATGTCATTTTTGTCTCCACTTCGAAGATACAAAGTTATCTGAAGTAAGATTCTTATGAAAAGAGTGAAAAACGTTCATTATGAACCTCTCGCTTAAGATAGTGTAAACGTTCTCAAGAGTCAAGACAAAATTTTGGAGATTTTTCTCGGATCTTGAAACCAAGGGCGGAACCACATTAAGGGCTACAGCCACTGTAGCCTAGTGTGGTTTTTTAAGAAAAAAAAAATATAACTTATATATATATATTTAACTTATTTTCAATATTAGCCCAGTCAGTGGCGATGTACATATTACCTTATTTTCATTTTCAACATTTAAGTAAATGTCTTTGTCATTTTACTTTTATTTATTTTTCTATTACTTCATTTACTTAAGTTTACAATGTAAATAAGGAAGTATCCCCCATTTGGATTCAAATAAAAATACTAGAAAATCAAATTCCCACCAAATCAAAATATGAAAAATCGATTTTAGTGCCAAATACGATTTAGGCTAAAAATGATGGCTCATTAAGTCAATATATACTTCATACTAAAATCCCATAAAATCAAGTTTTCTTATTTGATATGTGAGGATAAAAGCCGCCAAAAATTATCTTAAGAAAATGATTATTTCGAAATCCCATTTTTCATACTTAGTCAATATTTTTACATAAAATAACTTTTCATCTATAATATGAATGCATGAAAGAACCTAAGGTCAATCTAGGTAAAAAAACCTTAGATGTTCAATCCACTATGGTGTTAAACCCTATTTGGTTTATGTTAAAACTTATTGAAAATTAGTCTATGGAGCTATGAACTAACTTGGTTTATATGATTTAATGTTTACTTTTATTTCTAGAAAGACTATAGAAATTGTAAGTACCAAAAAAAAATAATCACTAAATTTTAAAGCTAATAACTTTAGCTAGCCCACCCGTTGAAAATTTTTTGGTTCCGCCCTTGCTTGAAACTAAGTAGGTCATACTATGATTTTAATTTTCTATGTAGTTTGGAGAGGTTTTGTTTTAGTCCTTATAGTTTCAATTGTCGTGATTTAACTTGTATAATATATTAATTGTTGTTTGTAGTGGAAGGGTAATGGCATATTTTTTTTCAACAAAATTAGCCCGTGAATGTTGTGTGTGAGGTATTTTACACGTTTAAACATATATCACACATGTATAAATTTCATAATATAAAATATAAAAGAAGGACGAAATGAAGCCATTGTACTAAAATTGGCAGCTCTTGGTAAATCACATTAAATCGCAACAATTGATACTATAAGAACTAAAGTAACTTCACCTAAGTTATAGAGATCAAAATCATATTTTGGCCAATAAGTTATAGAGCTAAGGGAAGGGAATACTTGCAAATATATAAATAAATAAATTAAAGTATGGGGATAATTGTTGAAATAATTATATACATTCAAACTTTTGTGAGGACATGCAATGCCATAGGTTTGTGGTATTTAAAAAAAAAACTTTTTTCTTTTCTTTTGTGTCAATTAAAAAGACTACAGGGAATTTTTTTTTTTTCTTCAATATAAGAGATAGTCTAAACTACAAAGAGAAAAATATTTCTCACACACACTACCAATATACTATGAGGATTTGAAATTGAGACCACTGATATGCAAAATCAATTTCTTTTTTCATCGGGCTAGATATGTTGGTAAAATACTGTTAAAGAATTAAAAGCTCTACTTAACACCAGTACTATTATATTCAATGAGCTCAACTGAAAACTTCTACTTTAAAGTTGTTTTAAATACAGAAATATATACAGAGACATATAATAGAGTAAAAGACCCCACCAGTTTCCTCTCCCAATTCCAACTTCCCCTCCCCAACTCCCATTTTGTTTATATATTTTTTCCTTTGTCTCATTACTATTTTAAATAATCTTCATCCCCCTACAACCATCTCTCTGACTGGCCATTAATGCCACACTTCACAGCTCCAAAATTCATTTGAAAGTTTTGAAACCCTCATTTCTCAAAATCAGAGAGAGATGGGCAAGAAAATGAAGCTCCCTTTTCTCTCCAAGAACACAGAGGCATCAAGATATTCTTCTTCTTCTTCTTCAACATGGCCTTGGCCTTCTTGCTCGCAACCCAGAACCCTCTCTTTCAGAAGAGGCAATGATATCTTTAAGACCATAAACTCAGCCTACTTTGACACAAGCACCACAGAAGTGATAGAAACACCAGACTCATTCTTCACCAACTCATCTGAGTCATGTCCAAGCTTCTCCACAGCCTCTGAAGACTCAGGTTTGGATCCAGTGGAGACAGTGATCAAAGGGTTGAGGTCAGAGAGGCTCTTCTTTGAGCCTAAGGCAGGTGAGACAAGCTCTATAGTAATGGAGGAGGAGGCTAAGGGAGCAGCAGATGGTGAGGAGCTTAATATTGTTCCATTCAAGGAGAGTGTGGTTTTGTCAATGGACTCTCCAGACCCCATTGTGGATTTTAGGAAATCCATGGAGGAAATGGTGGAGGCCCATGGTTTGAAGGATTGGGATCATCTTGAGGAGCTTTTGTGTTGGTATTTGAGGGTCAATGCGAAAAGCAATCATGGGTATATTGTTGGAGCTTTTGTTGATCTCTTGGTAGGTCTAGCTTTTAGTAGTGGTTCTACTAATTGTTCTTGTTCTTGTAATATTAATTCTCCTTCTTCTCCTTTATCTAATTTTTATAACAGTACTGCTAGTACTTCTTCTTTATCATCTTCTTCTATTCCTTGTGTCTCATCAATAGAGCCTGAGGAAGAATCTGAAAGCACTCCTTGTTTGTCTTCATTGTTGGAAGCTGAGGAAGATCAGATTCATGAAGAAGTTGAAGCGTTGTCATCTTCATCTTAGGCTTAGTTAGGTGCTTTGATTCAATGGAAAATATATGTATACTACTAGTGGAAATTATGATAGTGAAACCTTTTGATGACTCTCATGTCTCTCTCTCTCTCTCTCTCTTCCAAATTCGTGTGGAGATTGCAATCGTGTGTGGATTGCAGTTTCCATTTCCCAATGCATAGTAATAATCTAACATGGGTTATTTTCTATTTCAATACTAGAAAGTGTTGCAGCTACCATATTTATTCATTACATTTTTCACGTATTTGAGATCTATCTGTCTCACATTATACATCTCACATGATTAAAATTTAGCTACTATCCACCTACTTACGTAAGTAGATATATTTCAACTTTATAAGAGACGTGATCAACAATTTAATTTTGTTGATGTAAGTCGTAGTCTGCTATTTCAAGAAACCCTTTTGGTCATACTTGGAATTAATGCAAATTGAATCTTTTAACACATGAGACAAATTAACAATTTATTTGTGGACCGTGAAGACATCATCAAATTGGTGATAAAATATACCATGAAATTTGAGGTACTCAAAATTAAGGAGCTACGTAGCTTGCTTCAACGGCATTCTGTTATTATATGAAATATACTAAGCTCCATGTGGGCAGCAGCAACTTATGGCTTTTTCTCTCTCTTTTTTTTTCTTCTAAGTATATAATAATTTGTGCAGTCCTAAAAAAACAATGTAACACAAATTTGCAGAGATGATCTTCTGCAACTGACCACACTTCAACAAGTGTAGACATTGTGATTGAGCAAACATCCACCACTATCACTGTGTGTAATCCACATGGGAGTACCAACTCTGGAACTGGAAGCAATCAGGGCCGTTGATTTTGAATTGCTTGAAATGGAGGGTCATTATCAATGATAGCTACAATTCCAGCTCTGAGGTTTGGCGTGGTCCTAACACTCATTTCCTTGCACCTGCACAATTTAATCATTTATCGTCGGAACCCCAGAAAAAAAAACCCTGTAAAATTGTGTTCATTTTTGTTTGTTGAGAACATGAACATGGTTTTGAGAGTCACTTAAGTACAAGTTTAAGAAGAGAAAAAACAAGCCACCTGCAATTGCCATATTCAGCTTTCTGGTCTCCAAAATAATTTCAGATAGATAATTTTGCTTGCTCTCCTATTTTTTCTCTTTTTTTGGGGGACCTTATCATCATATCCCTGCGGCTGCCCATATAATAATTTGAATTTCTCTCTTCTGCACATTTGCTAGGTGTTGTAGGAAAAAACAAGAAGATGATGACATATATTCTTAGGGTGATATAGTAGAATGTCAGTATTTTTTCAGTGGTGTAAAGGAACAGCTAACCCAATCCTATGTCTTCTCCATACTGGTTTTTGGTTGTTATGTGCATGTCTTATTAGTGCAATCTTCAAGTGACAATCTAATGGTTGCTATTTATATATAGCACAGTACCAAATAAGGAAGGAGTAGCTACAAAACTGTTATCTGCGCAATTGTATAATTTGAACCGTTAATTACGCAGTTAGACTCTTGTTTGAATGTGTGATTCATTGTGATAGTATTCTTCATAACATAACATGTCATTGTCTCGTACTAGAGAGTTATTCCTATATCAAATGTAAGTTTTACTTTAATTACTGGAAGGAAAATCAAAGAACACATACATAAACATAGAGCTCTAAAATATTCCCAATAGACTAACCAAAAGACAGATTATGATATATTAAACAAAAATCTTTAGACTCAACTTAGTTGGCTTCTTTTAAAGGGGAAATAGATACACCATTTGGTATAATATGGAGAAATTAACTTTAAACAAAGCCAATATTGGCTCTTAATTTGGAGAAAGAACTTTCACGCTACATAATGTTATTGTGACGATCTTTAAAATTAATTAGGTATTATTACATAAACATTTTAAATATATAACAATGCGTAATTGACTTGGAATATCACCACAGTGACATTCCATATGTGTAAGTAACTACCTCCAACTGAAATTTTTTTGAATTACCTTATCATGAAACAAAATAAAGGCGAAGGAAGAAAAAAGAAAAGGAAAAATAAAGTTAAACTTAAAAGCAGTAAATAGGTGGAAAATTAGTCAACGTTCCATGGTTCGAGAGTCTTTTGGCTCAGCATAGATGCCTCTTCAATCTCTGAGGCAAGATTCTTGCCCAAGCGGCGAAGCTTCTAAACCTCATGCCACTCAATTATTTTAATAGCTCACCTCGACAAGCAATGGCAGATAATGTGGTTAATTTAATCATTTAGGATGATTGATTACATTAGCAAATTAAGTTTTATACTAATACGGCCATCGCTACATATACATATATATATATATATATATATATATCTGTCTTGGTGCAATCATATGTACCACCAACCATGTCATCTTTTTTGTTTTTCTTTTCTTTGAATTGTGATGAGGCAAAAGTCCTTAGACCATATTGAAAAGAAAAAAAAAGTTAAAAGAAATAAGAATTTCCACCAGTTTAAAATTAGAGGTGAAAAAGTTATATATATATATATATAATCTTTTAAAAAACTTTAGTATAAAGATATGAATGGAAAATTTCATTAATCCGATAAAAATTTGAGCTAGATGGAATTGGTTTCTCAAGTTTTTGTCGTCGAGTTATTTACACTAATATCCCTTGAGTTTTTTTTATTTTCACAAAACCCCTGAATTTTATTTATTTATTTATTTATTTTACATAAATCTAAATATTTTAACTTTCTCTTCTCTCTGACAATGACATTTGAATTATAATCTTGTTTTCTTAGGGTGCCATCAGCCATGTGATATCCATAAAGAGAGTCAAGTAAGTGGATGTCATGGCAATCACCATTCAAAAATAAAATAAGTGCTTGGCTTTTTAAATAAAAATAAATAAATAAGTGGATAGCAATGATTTAGGTCAAAATAAATCAAGGGTGCCACAAGACTACATCAGCAAATAGGTCTCACTTGTTTTAGACTGTGCTTGGCTACACTCGATCAGACTACTGTTCCAGACAAAGAAACAAACACCCTGCAGGCTATAACTTGTCAAATTTGGAGGAAATCAATAATAACACATGCTTCCCTAGAAACTAATTAATGCTTAGTTTGGTAATTAGTGAGATAATTACCCAACCCTAAGCAACAAGGAGACCCTCGTTTTCCGAGAAAAAAAATTAATTTACACGAAAATTGTGATGAGAAAGAGAGTATTGAAGTTGGTGTCTGCGGTCTTCATTTCAACTCGAGCTTTGTGTGGTTTTTTGCATTGATTGTGCTTCATGGGTCAAGACAAGACGCCCATATGCATATCCCACATTTCACTCTTGGCATTTTTTCTTCTCCTAGGGATGAAAGCAGTCTATCACATAATGTTTTTTTTTTAGTGGTAACAATTTTAAGATCTCAATCATGAATTGTTCTTTCCCTTTATTATTACTAGAGAATCCCCATAAAAACAATGGATGATGGTTCTGTTTTTAATTACTATAAGAAATGTGTTCTTACGAAATTTTCGACAATTTAAATTAAAGAATTCACCCTTTTCAATAGATTGGCGATTAAAATACGCCTATATTTTTACTTCTTCTCAAACAGTCTGATATGTTATATTGAGAAAAGTTGGCAACATAACGTGCGTGCCTAAAAGAAACAAGTTTACCTTGAAAACTTGATAGTAATCTTATATTGGAGTGACACCGTCTGCTTTCAAATGCATGGTAGTTTCGTGTTTGAAGGACCAGTCATTGAAGTCTATTTAAGGCCACCTTAAATGGGAGCAGGATGTGATAGAGAAGAGGCTTATTTATACCAACCACCAACTACGGCCCATATCAATCAATCCATTCGGTGCATGGCTTGACAGCCATTTGCATTTAATTGGGCTTTTTCGACTTTGACATAAAGAAACTTGTAATGCTTTGTCCCATAAACACCCCCTGACACCAACAGAGCTCCAAACAGGGATTCGATTAGGACCATTACTCACTTGAATCATGACGTTTCATTCAGTTCATGCAGAAAGAAAAGATCATTGAAACCCTAAACGCACTATGCTTGGTAAAGGAGAAAAAAGCAACCATGAAACTGGTTGGATAGGAAAGAAGTTACCTCTTTACCAAAAACAAAAGCCAAGAAAGAGGGGATAAATAATCTATGGGATCCCAAGTTCTTTTTTCCCAAGATTTTGAAAGGATTGGAATTAGGAAGATAGAAAAAACCAACATAATGAAACAAAAAGTTAGATAAAAGTAAAATTAGATTGTGGGATTTTACTTGGAATATGAATGAAGAGATACATAGGGAACACATATTTTATTCAACTAGTAATATTTGGATTTTTGTAGCTTGATTGAAAATGAAGAGGGGCTTCTCACATCTCTATCATTCTAGGAAAGGGATATGTTCGATCGGGCCCAAGCTTAAGCGGCACCAATTAAGCTTTCAATCAATAGGTTTAGAGAAATTATAGGCATGAATTAGGTCAATTGGCCAACGGTAGTATCTTTGCTTCCTTGCATCCGAGTTCAATCCCAACACACACGAAAAAAGCTTAGCGGAACGTGCCATTTGAGCAGTTGAAAATCTTCCAACTTCTACAGTTAGAATAGCAAACTGGTATGCCCGCACTTGTGATCTGTGTTCCAGATATTGAGCCAAAGGACAGCCAAACACTTAATCCACAACCTGGTAGGGTTTTTAAGTTACAAGAGTCACTAATAATTGGAATTCAGCCTTCCTAAAGTGACTTAGAAAACCCCAAAATGTCCCAGAAGCAAAGATTAGAAATTAAACTTTCCAAGAGAGGTCAACTTAGGGGCAAGCCTTTAAGGAACAAGATTGGAGCAATGGCGTTTCTCAGATTGAAGAGAGGTGACCTGTCATGTCAATCCCATTATCTTCCCCCTTCCTCATGGTGCCCACTATGTACCACTTTACGTGTCAGTCTCACATTTTGATGCCCCAAATCAAAATGTTTCAACACTCTATTGGTCTTGAAAAGTGCCGAAAGGGATTCATATAATTGCCATATCCAGTTAGAAATTAGAGTACTTGGTTCCACACAAAGTTGAAGGGATGTTGT